TCGCGCCGCCGCCGCCGCCGCAGGCTCTCGCATCGCGCCGCTTCCTGGCTGGGGTCCGTGCGCCGCCCGCGTCCCCTCCCCCTCCGCCCGCGGCGACCCCGGCCTCGACCGAGCTCCGGGGAGCCCTTTCCGGGCAGCGCAGGGAGAACAAGAAACTCGGCGCGGCCGGAGAGCGGCTCCCGGGCTTCCCTCGGCGGCGGCTTCTCGGGTGACAAGGAGCCCGGGGACCAGATCCGCTGAGCCCGGCTGCAGACTCGCTCGCAGCGAGGCTTTAAATACAAAAGTGGGCCGGGAGCCCCCGCGTGGTGCCGCGGTGCCCCCTCATTATGCATGCATGGAAAAGCAAACAAACAAAAACATTAGCAACGCTCCTCCGGCTGCCGAGCCCCGGCCCCGCGCGCTCCAAGCCTGCCCGCTTTCTCCTTTCTCCACTCTCTTTCGCCCTTTGCTCGGCCCCCTTTCCCGGCTTTTCGAGATGCTATTGGTTCTGCCTGTTGTTGTTGAAACTTTTTTTTTTTTTTTTTACGAGCCGCTGGAGTGGGGTGGCTGAGTGGGGGAGGGCGGGGAGGGTGGCGGGCAGCTCACATTCAGGCATTCAGGGCTTGAAAGGAACGGCTTAAGGAGCCTGACAGAGGCCCGGGAGCTCCTCCTACTCTTAAGGAGGCTCGGATACGGAGCCGCTGCTCTCGCACAGAACCAGCAGGCAGGGCTCGGGGGCAGCTGTTTGCATCCGGCTCGGTCACGGGCCTTTTTGTTTGGTTCTTTTTCCTTTTTTTTGGAAGTTTTATTAATTCTCCCTGGCCCCCATCTGTGCCTTGCAGGGGGTTCAGAATTTAGTTTGTTTTTCGAGTTCCCCGTCTTTGGGTCCTGATCATCACAGGGGGGAGAGGGGAATCCGAGAATTTAATGTAGGACTTTAAAACTTTAAAAAAAACACAAAACCCAAACGCACACAAGAGGCACGCACTTTAGTTAGGGGGATGCTGATGAGATTACAACCCTCCCCCTACCCCTCCCCAAATACCCGGGTCCCAATTTGCTAATCGGGCAGGTATGGCCCTTGAGCCAGCATCCTTGTCAATTGCAAGAAATCCAATCAACCAAATAAATTTTTTAGGAATATAAATTTCTAACATGGACAGTGATGAAAAAATAATAATAGCATTAAAAATCTTGAGGAATGTTGAGCAGTACCATCTGGCCGCAGCCACAACATAAAGGAAGGGGATAAATTGGCACGCACCGAGGTTTCTATTAAAGTGTAAGTTTCAGTCCCTCGCTGGGGTTGAAGGCAGCCGCCTGGTACAGCAGCCTCTGCAGCCCCGCCGCGGGAGTTGGCGAACTACCTTAACTGTGGCGCAACGCAGCCTTCGACCACCAGAGGCACCGGGCGTCTGCGGCCTGTCAAAAACTGGCGCTTTTTTCCTCCCCTTTCCGTGGAGAGACTATCAACTCCATCTGTCACAAAAATTGAGGCTAAATCTCCTCTCCAGAAGCAAAGGGAGCCGGGCAGCAGGGAGCGCAGAGTTGGGCTGTCCGCCTCTCCCCGGAGGCCAAGCGAATTTGAAATGGCAAAAGTGAGAACGCAGTCACAGGCTATGCAGACTTATCAGGCTGCAGGAAAGCCTGTTCCTGGGGAGGCTGCAGCACTCCTCCGAGGCGCTGGGTCTGCCTTAGGAAGCTGCCCCTCTGCAAGCTGCAAAACAAAACAAAATAAACCTTCAAAGAACCAGGCTGAGTGAAGGCAGACCTTGTTGCTCTGACTCGACTCATAGAAAGCAAACAATATTAATCCATATTTTTTAAAAATTAGAAAGGCTGCAACTGTGTGGCGCCTCAAAACAACAATTTTCCAGGCTCTAGGTGTTTTTGTTGTTTGGAATTGTAATCTCAGTCCTGCCAGGAGGGCTGGGACAAGTCACACTCCTTCTCTGTCACTTGGATCCTTCACATGTAAAGTTCAAGGCCAGATCAGACACGTGAAAAAGTCCTTTCGTCTTGAATGCTCTGTGATTTTCGGCTCATGAGAACAAGGTGAACATTCAGCTGCATCTTTAAGCCGATGTTTGTTGAATTCCTTTAGAATGGTGGGTCTCACACCTTAGCATGAGACTTGCCTGGTGGCCTTGTGAAAACCCAGATTGCTGGGCCGGCCCCTGGAGCTCCTGATGCAGTAGGACTAGTGGGGCCCGAGAATGTGCATTTCTAACAGGTCCTCAGGGGATGCTGCTGCTGCTGCCATTTGTCTGGGGACCAAGCTCTGAGAACCACTGCTCTAGAGGTCCTCACGTTGTTGTTGTTGTTGTTGTTTGTAAATCTTGCCCATCCTGGCCTTGAGACAGCGCTCAGTGAGATTGCAGGGGCTCAACAGCTTTGTCTGCTCTGAGGATACCTTGGCACCCCAGTCTCACAGGCCCGTGGGGCTATCAGCTGCCTGATAGACCAAGCAGGAGAAGGAGGCTGTGACTAGCCGGGAGAAGGAAGGATGCCCCTCCCCCATGAGCCCCGGAGACCATGAGGACCACTGTGCCTCACATCTAGGTTTTCATTGATAGCCACCAGACCTGCAAGCCATCCCTCATCACCCTGACACCGGTCCCCATATCACTCTGTACATCTCTTAAACTGAGTTAATTCCTTTTACAAGTCTGTCCCCCACTCCTCTCCTCTCCCCCCCAAAAAGTCCCCACCTCCACAGCGGAGCTTTCAATGTGTTCTCAGCAAAATCTCCCATATCCTCAACCTACTTTCAGAGCTGGATCTTCACCTTCTTGCTCTAACTTAAACCCGGCTGGAACCTACGGAATGGGAGAAAATATTTGCAAACCACATATCTGATAAGGAATTAATATCCAAAATGTATAAGGAACTCATACAACTCAATAGCAAAAAAACAAAATCTGATTAAAAAATGGACAGAGGACTTGAATAGACATTTTTTCATAGAAGAAATACAAATGGCCAACAGGTACATGAAAAGGTGCTCAACATCACTAAACATCAGGAAAATGCAAATCAAAACCACAGTGATATATCACCTCACACCTGTTAGAATGGCTATTATCAAAAAGACAAGAGATAAGTGCTGACAAGGATGTGGAGAAAAGGGAAACTTGGTGCATTGTTGATGGGAATGTAAATTGGTAAATCACTATGGAAAACAGTATGGAGGCTCCTCAGAAAATTAAAAATAGAACTACCATATGATCCAGCAATCCCACTTCTGGGTATATATCCAAAGGAGATGAAATCACTATCTTGAAGAGATATCTGCACTCCTGTGCTCATTGCAGTGTTATTCACAATAGCCAAGACATGGAAACAACCTAAGTGTCCATCAATAGACAAAGAATGCATAAAGAAAATATAATACACATATATATGCAATGGATTCAGCCATAAATAAGAAGGAAATCCTACCATTTACGACAGCATGGATGGCCTTTGAGGGCATTATGCTAAGTGAAATGAGTCAGAGAAAGACAAATACTGTATGATGTCATTTATGTATGGAATCTGTAAAAACCAAATTCATAGAAACAAAGAGTAGCAGGGTGGTTTCCAGGGGCTGGAGGGTAGGGGAAATGGGGAGATGTTGGTCAAAAGGTGCAAACTTGCAGTATAGTTAACAATGCTGTATTGTACACTTGAAAGCTGCTGGGAGAGTAGAGCTTTAATATTCTCACCATAATAACAACAACAAGAACAAAATGGTAATTATACGACACGAAGGATGTGTTAACTAACCTTACTACGGTAAACATGTCACAATATATGTTTATCGAATTGTCATCCTGTACACTTTAAACTTCTACAATGTTATACGTCAATTATATCTGAATAAAGCTGGAACCAACAACAACAAAGCTGACCCTTGTAGGCGCAGCCTCCACTTTAGCCCTCACCAGTCTTTGGCTGATTTTTCTTCTGTAACCCGCATCCACCAGACCTTGAAGCGGGGTACACAGGCTTTTTGTTCCTCCTTTGTTCCACTTCCAAACAATTTTATTCCCCCTCCCTTGAAATCTCTAGCTCCCTTGAACATCGTGCTGTTGGGTCCTTCACAGTCACCTACTGACTCTTCCTCTCCCTAGCCCTTCTCCACTAGGAGTGCTCCCGGGAGCCGCGGAAGACAGAAAATGAGTTGAGTGGCTGTTCCCTCAATCCTCCCAAGGATGGCACCTAACCAGTACCGCTCTGGACACAGAGGAGAGAGGTCAGTCTGTCACACACAGTGGAGGCTGTGGCAGGCAGAGAAGTGTCTGAGGAAGACAGGTGAAGGACTTCTCATGGAGAGGAGACCTTCCACACTGTGGGAGCTGGGGCAGCAGGCAGTGCCATCTGCTGCTTCTGCACCTGGTATCAAGCCCGAATTTGCCATAGGTTGGTCAGACAGACAGTTGGGAAAGAAATCTGAGATAATTTGGAAGCTGTGAGGAAAACTGAAAGCAGAGGGGGTGAACTGGAGCTGATGTCTCCCTCATCACTTCCAACCTCGATGACTCAGGGGATGACCTCAAAGGCAGCTGCGCCCTTCACCGTGGAGCTGACATGCTCTTTGTCTGGGACTTGGAGAAGCTGAAGTAGGAGAGCTGGAGGGAGCTGAGGAAGCTCAGGTCCAGGTGTAGGCCCACCCCAGCCCGGGAGAGCTTCAAATCAGCAA